ATGCCAGTAGTCTATAATGCCTTGTTGGTGGTCTTTGATTTCTGACTTTGTTGGGCTCAATCTTTCATACTTTCAAATATTATATACATAATCTATTTTCACTTACGTGGTACAATCGACACAGCGAGGACTCGAATCCAATCACGAAGCCTGCGATTGGATCCGAGTCCTCGACGAACTCTGACAGAGCGCTCATTTGCAATATGACCTAAGTTCACTCCGAACGCTGACGCAACTGCCGTGTCCATTACATGCTCAGAGTATGTGAGCAAGCAATGGTGGCCGGGTGTTGGTACAAACTTTTGAAAAGGCTCTAAAAACAAATTTATAAAAGCTTTTATTTCAGACGACCATGCGATTGAGCTTTTTGTTCGCTGTTCTAGATAGCTCGGAAAATGACACTCTGAAATAAGAAATAAAAAAAGTGCCTTAGTTGTTCACCATACCTCTAACACAAGAACATTTGGGAACATGGTGCTTAGATATGCTCTAGCTTTGGGTTAAGCGATATGGCCTATTCTAGGCTCTAGGCCTGAGGCCACAGATGTGGCCTCAATCCAAACATTTTTGTCATCAGAGTTGTGCATTCTTGCGGTAGGATATTACAAAAGCAGTCTACATGAATTGAGCGTCAGTCCTGCATTCCTTTTAGTGGATTGCCAGAGAAGTGTCAGAAATGTGGGTAAGAGTTCATAAGTCCTACCTTTGTTTCAGGGAGCCACTGCAAAGGCTACACTGTAAAAAACACTGCTTACATACCTATAGTTTTTGTAGCATTGTTTTCTGTATCTACAAAACAGTTTCACTCTTTCTGATTCGGTCTAAGCATCTCTCTTTTTTCGTGTTTGAATGTTTTCTACTTCAGGTTCAGTCCTGCCAGCTTATCATGTATCAGGTTAGTTCGGGCTCATTATGAAATATCTCAAGCTAATACGTATAGCTGGTCCCACTTTCAGAACACATTCAATTTTGCTCTTGGTTTTATCTCTTGTGCATTCCTGCTTACTTGAGGCCGTCTTTTTTTCTGCTCCCTACAGGGCTGAAGAGAGCCGCGTCTACCACAACCTGGATGCAGGGAACTTCTCCAATGGGGTGAGAACATTTATGACATCTTGGCTTGTTAAAGAGCACGTAAACAGAGGATCGGGATTGGCAGAAGTGTGATGTCGTTGCTTGCTTTTTAATAATTTCTGCAACTCTGCATGCACCACCAAAGATAAGTAATTTTGTAATTTCACGGCATCCAGTCCACAGATAGCAGTCGATGCGGAATGCTAGCCGTGGCTAGCTACTAGTTCAAACTTTTCTTGGAGGAAGCAACATTAGTAACCTCATATTAATGCCTTGCAATTTCAGCAGGATGCCCATGGTGCTATCGTTTTATCTATGCATGTTTGATAAACAACATTTTCATCAGTGCACATTTTATCAACACTCATTACGCAACCTTAACTGTTGCGATGTTTGATTGGCACCGTGATAGCAAGCTACAATTCCAAACATGCCGCGCTTTGTGCAGTCACCCCTTGTTTTGCAAGGGGAAAATAAATCTATTCTTGGGCTTGAACTTGCAGTGAGCCTTTTTAGAAAGCTATGCTAGCAATCAAAAGGGCGGATATGGGGTGCTGTTGGCCGAGCTTCGATCCTAAAGAGGTCTGGCGATATTCATGTTAACAAAAATCAATTTCAAGGCTGTCATGAAAAGGAAGCTATCTATGAAATGTGGCAAGATGTGTTGCTGAAACAGACAGTCTTCATCGACAAAGCAATTTGTCGGTGAGACATTCTTTGATGAACTGATTGCCACCAGGGGGTCTAGACAACATCTGAAATCTCAAGGCCTGCATGCTTCAAATTTGACAGTGCATAGGTAGGCCACTGCAGTGCACAAATTGAACACGAGTGCCGCATCTGCATTCGGCAGGGTCCTTGGTAGAGTTAGAAAGGGTTGCAAAGTGAACAACTTTCGAACATTGCCATGGTTTGAATTTACAAAGTTGCTTTCGATGTTGATAAAAGTAGAGTTCAACAGTTTCCTCTTTCTTTTTTGCAATTTTGATTCTAAAAATATTTGAAGATTTGAAATTTCTTGGTTTAAGTTAGAATTATTCGAAGATTAAGAGTTTTGTTCCAAGTATAAGTTTGTAAAGTTAGAAGTCTTCAAATCGCACGAGGGTCCCAGTTTCAGTTTCGAGTGATTTCTTAATTTTCTGATGTGTGAGCTCTGTTTAACTGAGTTTAAACAAAGCTTGCGGAAAGCAGAGATGGGTACAGCTGTTGCTACCACCAGATAGCTTGCTGCATTTGCTGGGCAGGTCGGCACTCGGCCACCTAGCTTGCCTCTTTGAGCTGTGAGTCAGTCTCCTGCGACAGCAATTGTTATCTGCACAGTTCAAGCGTGGTTCAAGCGTTGAAGCAGTTGCTATGTGTTCTGAACATGTAGGTACCGATTGAATCCTGTTTCGTTAGAAGTTCCTCAGATCAAAAGTTTAAGTTTCGTCAAACTTTTGGACTTCACGGGTTCGAAGTTCGACAAATCTGTAGAGAAATAATGACTAAAATAGTCGAATTTTTTGACATGATAGGTTCAGTGTTATATTTGTTAGTGCCAAAGTTAGAAAGGTTTAGCATCTTTGAATCCTTCAGACCTCAGGTTTGAAAAATGTTTGCTTCATCTCTAGTTCTTGGTCTGATCAGTGAGGACACGAGCCCCAGCCGAATGCTGATGCAGCACTCGTGGTCTGTCTGTTTGTGCTGGCCTATGTGTCAGCATATTTGAAGCAGGTCAAAATGCTTTGGGGGGGGGGGGGAAGAAGAGAGGAGGTGCCTGCAAAACTAGAATTTCTGAGTGAGTAATGACCTGGCAACTACTTAGTAACCAATTTTCTGCATCTTATTCCCACAAGTGAGAAGCTAAGACTAATTGGTGTGTGGTAGAGTAGAACCGGATTTGGGAGGCACTAAAGGGGGCCCTGATAAGAGGCGAGCTTCTTCTTGCCCTCCTCCCTGGTGGTCATCATAGCGCTTTTTGAATGACGTCGCGTGCTACCCATGTGTAGATTGAACTACCAAGAGCGCCGTTTTGCTCTGCAAGCTGGCTTTCACTCAATGCAGACAAGCCCTTGAGGGAAAGCCAGCTTGCAGAGCTGGCTTTCCCCCAGTGCGCCTGCTGGCAATGCGGCCGCTTGAAATAAAAAAGCCAGCTTGTAGAGCAAGCTGGCTTTTCTCTTTCAAGAGGCCGTGTCGACCACAGGGAAGAGAAGAAAAAATTCTCTTCTGTAAAGGGTGTGGGGAGAGGGTGAGCGGGTGAGACCTTGAAAAATGAAGAAACGGCCACTGACTATCCGCGTGACGCGTCCCTCATGACATACAGACGCTCCTTTGAGAGCAAACAACTTTCCTAAATGTGGCGTTCTTGTTTTTTGTCAAAATCATTAGAACTTTTATAGACACACACGCCTCCCTGACGTCACGCAGCTGCGGTGGTGCTGTCGACGGCACTGCGCATGCGCAGAAGCCTCAGTTCACTCGAATTCGGTTGCTGCGCGTGCGCAGTGCCCACACCTGGTATGGGCAAACGCGGGCTTGTTAGTAAACATTGTGTCGGTCTATATCGAATTACTTAGTATGTCAGACTGGTAGAGAGTTTTTGCGAGTTCAATAAACGTTGTTGACTGTAATTTTATGTCTAAACTCAATGCTTTTTATTTTCTCAGCTGCCAGCAAGGCGAAGTATACGGACTTGAGCGAGGCGACAGTTCAAGATATCGCAAAGAGATGGCTGTGGTCATTTGTCGACTGTGATGGTGGGCGAAGCAAGAAGCAGGATGAAGAAATGGAAAAGGTTAAATAAAAATAGTCCCAGAAAATCCTCAGCCTTTTTTGATTTAACAATACAAACCAGTTCTCAGTGAGTTTGTGCATCCCGACATTTGATCTCAAGTGGTTGATCTTAACTGATACAGCATCCACAGCTACTGCAAAGTGTGCAGGCAAAATGTCAGGCACAGGCTCTTGTTCTGCAGTGCGTCCATGAGTTAATTGCAAGGCTAACACCTAACTGCAAGTTGCTCACTAATGTGCGACCTCGGCTGTAGGGCCAGCACCCAATCGCAAAGGTACGGCCTATGATTAGTTGCGAGGGATCGGCCTGTGTCCAGCTGCATGTCATCGGCCTGTGCCCGGTCAAACTTCTTCGCCTAGCACCTGACATCTAATGTACGGCTAATGCCCAGTTGCTTAACTCCGGCCTGCCTCTGATCACAGGACACCGGCCGATGCCCTGTTGCTAAACTTCGGCTTGCTTTCGGCCACACGGCATTGGCCAGTGCCCAGATGCTAACCTTCAGCCTGTGTCCTGACACAAGTCTTCGGCCGGCCTCCATTTGCTAAACTCCGGCCAGCTTTCAATCGCAGGTGATTGGCCAATGTCCTGCTGCGCCACTTCGGCTTACTTTCGGCTACATGGCATTGGCCAGTGCACGGATGCTAACCTTTGGTCTCTGTCCATACCAAAGTCTTTGGCCGGTCTTTATTTGCTAGCCTTCGGTTTGTGTCCTGCTACAGGTCATCGGCCAGCCTCCAACAGCCAGTCCCCTCAAGTCTTTGGCCAAGGCCCACAGCCATGTTCGGGCATAGTAGTTTGACCAGCCTTAGGCCGGAGGAAATGTGACTGGCCAAAATGCTTCAGCCATTGCCCGGCCGTTCATTTTGTGCTGCCTGGGTGCAAGACGACTGCTGCAGGTGTTTAACATTCATCACACAGTAGCGATGGCAAAACTGCGTGCTGGTATAATGATCCAAATTGAACATAATGGGTGCAAGTAAAACTCAGATTTCTGGGTTCCAAAGTGAGCTTGTGCTTTAGATGCACCAAGTTGTCGTGCAGATAACAATCAGCCAACAAACTCTTGTAGATACCATGTGTGGACCACACTTCATGTTTATTTCTACTGCCACATGTTTGAAACAGGTTGACCACAACAGCAGCATACAAAAGCTTAAAGCACTTCCCATTTGACAACAACCTCACTACCATTATACAGATCTAGAGCACAGTGGAGCGTCTGATCATCATCAGCGTCCACAAGTTTTAGGTGCCCTGACTTGCCCACACGGTGGCAAAACTTGTGCCTGTCGAAGCCTTCATCGGTTAACAACTCAACCAAAATGAACAGTTTGCCTGATGCAACATACAGGGCTTCAACTCCACAGAACTCTGGTTCAACGTCCTGTGCAGCCTTCACAAGGATATCACCGCACCGGTACTCGCGGTGGTCGATTGCTGCATGCGACACCTGGCGTGCATTCAGTGGCAGCACGTCTTGAACAGAAGGTGGCAGAGCACTCTGGTCAACAGGCTTGCCAGATGGGGCCATGAGCTGAGCATCTGATGACAGCTCCTTGAGCTGGTGACTTTGCATTAGCTGATGTCGTTTGGACAAGGTCAGAGTTATGTTTCGGAAGTTCTTGATCCGTGAGGCGAGGGTTTTAAAATATTGATGTTTGGCTTCAAACCTCATAGACCAAAACTGCTGTAGTGGTCCAACCTCACGAATCATTCTGGCATAATGAATGAGGTAATGAAGCTTGGGAATGATGACTGTGCTTCCATACCGCTGCGCAAACTCCACAAGAAACGCTTGCACAGTTGTCTCCAAGTAAGGAAGGTACCCGCTGGGCACGACAGGAGCAAAGCTGATGTCAACAATTTCCCGAAACTGGAGGAACAATTCCCAGTCCGCGTCACCTTCTGGAATCAGCTCGGCAAGAATCAAACCCAGGAGTCGCAGAAGGCACCACTTCTCTGATGCAGTTCCCTTCAAGTTTGCTTTGCTTGTTAGAAAGCTTCTGTTCATTGCGACGGGTTTGTTTTTCTTGTCGTTCCACCCATATGCAAAGGAAGCGATGCGGTCCATGTCACTGTACGACAGCACCCCTCCCTCAACTAACGCCTTCAGTATTGGGCGAAGAACGGACTCGAAGCCTCCTTCTAGAATGTCGTGCATGAGGTCGGGGGGTAACTGTCGCGTCACGTCAAAGTATGGCAGCTCCAGCATTGGGGAGCGGTCGTTCACACCATACAGTTTTCTATTTAACTTTGGGTTCACAGCCACAGCTTTCAGATGTTGCTCGTGTGCCTGAGCCGACCGCAGGGTACAGAAATCCTCTGTTGTTATCACTGACAATGTTTCAGATAATGCCATACAAAACCGGCACACCCTGCCCCGACTAAAGCAACATGAGAAGCCCCCAAGGCGATTCATAGACAAGTTGTCACCACATACACAGAATACAAAGACCAGTGCATTCTGTGCTGCTTCTTTGCTCATGAACTTAAGTCCGTATGCTTGCAGTTCATTGAGGTCACTGATCAAGGGGCTCAGGACGTTGTCCAAACCATACTGATGTACGTCGTCGTACTTCACCAGGAGCACTAGGTATATGAACCGTAGCTGCGACCTGTGTCTTGGATGTAGGTTCAGCAACGTGAAGTACACAGCAAGTAGCTTGTGCATGCCACGCTTCGGTCCCAGGGGATTACAAATCTCCACTTCATCACTGTACAACAAAATGAAAATTGTGTAATGGGCCCCATCTGGGATAAGACTCATGAAGTCTTGGAAAAGGAGCCCATCTGAGAAGCTTCCCTATTGGAAAAACGTACAAGAAACAAACCTGCTGCTTGTACAGTCCTGGTATGACACCAACATAATTTATTGTTATTATACATGCAGCTAGTTTGGTTTTGCGTTCTCCATAACTGGAGATACCGGCACCGCTATGGCTCCGGGTCTGTCTATACTGGCAGCCGGTTTGCTCGCCGATATGACTCGGTATGGCTGGTATGATTTTGCGTCCGATGACGTAGGCGACCGCCATCTTTCCAACGAAACGCCTATCCCACAAGACCACCGGTATAACTAAACCATACATGCAGAAAGACGACCGCCATCTTCCAACAAAAACGTCCATCGTTTACCACCGGTATCGTTACATACATCATACATGTCGAAAAATACCATAAGCCGCGTTTACATGAATGCGACTTAGTCGCATTGAATCCAGTTGCCGCATTCAATATGCGGTCATGTAAACGGCATAATACGCAAAACGCATGGCATTAAAGTCGCTAGACAGAGGTGGATCGAGATGGCGAGTGCGCATTCATTCAGCCCATGTAAACGAAGATCGCATCGCATTTTGGAACGGGGAGGATTATCGGAAGGCGCTCGCTGCGGGAGCGAGTGAACAGCTGAGAACATGGTGGCGGCCAACCTCGTCGGCGGCGCGGAGAGCGGTCCCGCAATTTTTTTCCCGAGAACAAACGCAAGCTTTTATTGCGATCATAAGTAAGCGGAATTTAGCGGAGCTGCTCGGTGAGGGCGGCCCCGTCCAAACCTTTGCGAAGTACGACTTGCGCGTCCGAAGGGGTCACAAAGGCTTCGGAGCAAGCACGCATGACAACGAGAGCTCCGAGCACTGTAGAGCACTGCATGGTTGCGCAGAACGAGCAGCTCCTACCTCGCTGCCGTTCCTGGCTGCGCAAGAGCCTCTCGGACTCGGGGTCTGGTCGCGATCGGCGAGGTCTGGCGCGGCGAAACGTGGAGGCTTCCTCAAAGCGTGCACACACACGTCGCCTCTCGTTCAGAGTGGACCGGCGGCCCGGACTGGAGTCCTAAACGCCTTGGTTTTGATGCTTCTTCCGTCTCCCAACTTCTTCCACAGCACCGAAGACAGCGGGCGCGATCTTTACGTTCACTGAATGCGTCGAAAGGCCTCCACGTGCGATGCACCGGAAAACGTGGTGCGGCTGGTGCCGGAACGGAACTGACGGAACTGCATAACTTCGAGCTTTGAGTCAACGTGCACGGCAACAAACCGATCGTGACACTAAGCCGCGGATACCGCATCGCCGGTCGACAGGGGCAAATGGCCCGTTGCTCGTATCGTGGGCCGTGACTCGTACTCGGCCAACTCGGCGTCTTTTCGTGGCCCCTCGCGTCGTCGCAACCAGCCGCAAACATACCAGCCCGCGACCGTGGCCGATGTCGGAGAAAAGCGAAACCGAAACGTAAAGCTTCCGCCCAGTGGCTTCCGCTGCCGCGCCTTTTCTAACTTCCCGGCCAGTCCCGGTTTACACGCTTCCGGTCGTCGCGGAGATGGCGACGCAGCCAGATGTAGCGGTTTTGGCGCTGGCTCCTGCGTTTTACGGGACAGATGTTTTACGGTCCGTTTCTACTGCGTCTCTGGCTCTCAACTCGACGACGCCTCTCATGGTTCAATCAGGCGTGGTCAGCCGGGGTCAGCACAGCGCGGCCGGCTCAACTCGTCCGATCGCCGGACCGCAGGCGACTTCCGATTTCGGCCGTTAGGCCTAGGATCCGAAGGACTCTGTTTCCGTGAAGCGGTAAGCGAATCTCGCCCCGTTTTCGTTCTACTTTTAAATTACGTTAGGTGCGCTACAGTGTAAGCATGCGTGCCAAGTGTTCGTGACAATTTTGAACTAGAATAATTGTGCTTCATTGCGGTTTGTCATTTACGAAAAAGTAAATCGAGCAATGAACGAGGAGCCATGCTTGAAAACGATGTATGTACGATGTTAACTTCTACCTGGGCGGCTTAAAAAAAAGTCAAAATGGTTACGGTTGGATGCGAGGCTGGTCCCAATGCAATGGTAACCACTTAGAGCACCTTTCTGAACAGCATGTAAGCAATATAGCGATCAACGAGACGAGCGACGACGAGAAGCTACGAGTGCCGGCGCCGAGCGACGAAGATTTCTCACTCTCGCTGCTTGCGCCGCTCGGTTCCTGGGCTTCTAGAAAACGTCGCTCATCGCCTTGATCGCTCGCACCAATCGCTTTCATAATGTGTGTCTCGTCGCGCAGCTGACTACCGTGTTTATTCAAATATATGTCGACCTTTTTTTTTTTTTTTTTTTTTTTTTCGGAAATTGTGATTAAAGAATTTTGACCTACATTCGCGACCAAATTTTGCGACCGTACCGGAGGCATGAAGCTATCGAGTCACCGAGCCGGCGTTGTAGAGCTGCGCCGCTTCTTGTTTCCAAAAGCTTTTGTTAAACAACCGAAAACAACAGCGGTGGCTGGTGCCGCTATCGCGCGCACCTCTTGGGGCATTGGATTTCGCCATCGCACCTCTAGCGTTCCCCTTGCTGGGCAATGGGGAAGGAGAGGAACGCGATGCGCCATGCACTTTGTCCTCCATCCTCGCAAACGCGCACAAAAAAAGAAAAAAAAAAGATGTTACTTTTGTTAGTTGCTTGAGGCGGCTCGGCTCGCGTGTTGCTCATGGCGACACGGCGGCTTTGTTTGCGTCTTTGTAGTTTGTCTTTCGTTGCTTCGCTCCTTCTTTCGTTTCTTGTCGTCATTTTACAACGGTGTCAGTGAAGTATTGTGGCGGATTTGCGAGGATGTCTACCAAGCTGTGAAGTGATGTAAATAAAGGTTTCTTTCTTTTGCCCAAAATTTCCCCTGTTCTTAAAAATAAAAAAAAGTCGACCTATATTTGAATTGTTTTTTTTATTCTCGGTGGGTCCAACAAATAGAGTTCGACCTATTTTCGAGTAAATACGGTAACTTTAATTTTTATTTTGGGTTACGTCGGACGTAACTCGAATGCTTGACAGTTACGTTGGGCGTAACTTTAATTTTTATTTCGGGTTCCGTCGGACGTAACGTTAGACACTGCGTTACACTAAAGAAAAATAGGGGCTGATGGTTCATCATATAAACCAACCATTTGTGTTTAATTAAAGCGAATCACTGGCCTAAAAAAACACTGCCATCCTATAGGAATGTAGCGCTTCAGATAAATTCGTTAATTTTTGCTTTTAGTCTCTGCCCCACCAGATACAACATCTGGCCTAAAGCAGTGTTCCGGATCTCCTTCCAAGACCTCAGGCGGGTCGTCATTCAATCCAGGAGGCGGCGGCGTCTCATGGGCGTGTTGCTGGTGCTTCTTACTGGATGGTGCTACCGAGGGAAAAGTGGTCGTGCTTGGGAAAGGCAAGTATGGCCGCCGTAAGTATAGATATTGTTTTTACCTTTGCTCGAACCCACCTTTAAGAAATGCACAGTTCGCATGTGTGCATCTCTCAATGCTTCTACAGTCGGCTGTTAATATTTGGAGTGCTCCAACTCTGTCAGCGCTAGTTTCTCTAGATTATGCAAATGGGATGCAACACTAAACCACATATGCTCTCGCAACAAACAGTGCTCTGCTGAAGCACGCACTGTGGAATCTACTCTGGCTTTATAATGCAGCACAAAATAGTTGACGCCAAGTATAGCTACTGTTGTGACTCCGTTTTACCAAAAGCTCTGCCGAAATAAACTTGCCACCTTATACGTAGTGCAAAAGAACCTCGCGTGCCTAACCTGGAGAAGGGCTTTTTTTTCATAGGTAAATTTTTTCTTAAACCAATACCTTCAGCCTCCTTGAAATGTTAACATCATGTGACACTCAGAAGAACAGTAAACCCCTTAATGTTGGCGAACCTTTAATTTTCGCGGCCTTTAATTTTGCGGAATTCAGTGGCTGCGATTATGTCCTCTGTGACCGATTCGAGAAGAAATAGGGGCTACCAAGATAAGGGGGTTTTACTGTCCATCGGAGGAGAGAGGAAGTCACCTTTGTTTGTATGCAAGAGTAAAACCAACAACAACAATCATGGTGCCGACACTTTGTGAGCCTATCTGTGTCTATTGAATTATATCAATTTTGTTTTTGTTCGTTAAAAATTGTTGCCTGTCCACTGTGGGATGTCGTCTTCAACACGAGCAGTGGTTTTCCTCTGAAGCAGGCAGCATGGACGCGTGCCGCAGCACAACATAGTTTATTTGCAGGTGGTACCGCAGTTTGAAGGATGGTTCGCACAATATGGGGGAATCGCAACTCAATGTTCTACCTCGGGCGTAGACAAGATTTGCTCATTCTAAATCATTTTGTCTACAAATCGGGAACTTGCAACAATGTACCCGCATGGTTGGAAGGGCCAGACAAGCCTTGCGAGCGCTTCGTTTTCTAGCCTCTCAGTCCTGAACCTACTCACGCACCACATGTGTAGATGTTCCGGTACGTGGGAGCACTTATTTGGAAAATGGTGAATGGCAACTGTTGCTATCTTTAAGGTGGACTGCATATTTGCAGTACTTTTCCTCACTTAAAAATATGTCTTACTAAAAATATGTAGTATAGCCGATGACAAAAAGAGAATGGCTGGGCGTCCTCCAGCACATGCTTGTGCTTTTCACCCCGCTTTAGACAGATGTGCTCGCTCCAGGCTCATCAGGCGCTGAAACGTCATCGAAGGTAGCAGACGGGCTGGAGGTCGAACAACGGAGACTTCTCCCTGCCTTTCTGATGGTGTCAGTGAGCATGTACTTCTATACTCTAACTTAGCTTAACCTGCACAGAGCTGAGTAGAATAGGCTTGGCAAGTGCCCTTATTGCATATGCATTTGTACAGCTGAGGCACTTTCTAAATCAAGAA